GAAATTTATAAAAACAAGGATCTTTTCATTCATAAATACGTTCGGGGTTTTTGTATGTTATTTGAATTGTTTGCGACGATGGATTAAATCATTAACCTTTGTATTTGTTTTTTGTATGAATAATTATGAATATATATATATATATATATATATATGTGTGTGTGTGTGTGTGTGTGTGTGTGTGTGTGTGTGTGTGTGTGTGTGTGTGAAAATATATAGAAACTAGGAAAAAACCTCGTTAGGTAAATAATCCAAAGTTCTTTAGTATTTTTGTTATTATTTTTAAAAAATAGTGCTCGATACAAAAGTAGAGCATAAATATAATTATTTATTTAAAATTATTTTTAAAGAAATAATTATATATATATATATGTGTGTGTGTGTGTGTGTGTGTGTGTAACATCAAAATTGTCTAAATCATATTAAAGCATAATTGTCCATCCCACGAAAGGTTCACTATCTAAAATCCACTAAACTCTTTGAATTCCCTTTTCCAGGTTTTTACATAAGACGTTTAACTATCTTAACACTATTTGTCGTTAGAATCACTGAAAGACACTTTAAGTTATTCAGCTAGAACAAGAAAAGGTTAAAATTGTTTTGTGTCAGCCGCACTTTCTTCTCAACTGAGCAATGGTGAGAGTAAAAAATCATTTTGTCCTTCAGTAATGGTACCAATATTCATACACCGGCTTCCATTTTCAAAGTCCATTCAAGAACCATCAAGGGAACACTGAATAATTTTAAAAAAGAGGGGACATTAGAGAGGAAAGCTGAATCAGGAGGTGACAACAGCAAGAGGGATCATCATTTCAACTTACAGCTAAAGATATCATTTAGTAAAGATCCAACTCAATCCAGAATACGTTTTGCACCTGAGAAAGGAGTTTCAGCGACGACAATCCAAAGAGCAGTGAAAAAAGTCTTGAAAATGAGATAGTACATGAAACGTGTGAGGCACCTTGTTATTCCAGGACAGAAAGTTAGAAGCTTAGAGAGGGAAAAGATCATCTTGAATAAGTTGGAAGATATCCTGGAATAATATATATATATATATATATATATATATATATATATATTTGAAATTTATTTCAATCCTTCATCCTATATTTATTAATTAATGATAAACATGACATTTTCATTCATGATTGATTTTATGACGATTCTTCTGTTAAAAAGAAGTAGGGTAGTATAATTGTTATGGGAATTAACAATTTGGTACATATTTTCAGTGCGTTATTAATTTCCATAACAATTACATTTTAAGTAAATTCCATGGAAAAAAAGATAAATCTAACATGGAAACCCCTTGTAATTGTAGAATTATGGAAAACTGCCCAGTAGATGGCAAGTGCAGATCCACTAGGGTAGTATACCGGGAAACCATTACTCCCTAAAGAAAATACGACAAACCATGATATTTACATTGGCATTTCTGTAGGAGAATTTAATAAGAGAATCAATATACATAGACATTCATTCACCAATCCAAAATTAAAACACCAAATAGCTCTTGCGAAAAAAACAAACAAAAAAACTTTGGGAACTGAAGGAAAAGGGTCTGAATTCTCAAATAAATTGGAAAATTCTAGATTTCGCGAACACCCCCAATAGTTTTAATGATAAGTGTAAGCTATATTTAAAAAAAGAATCACGATAATAAAATATAAAGATCAACGTAAACTATTAAATCAACGGAGAGAAATAATCATGAAATGTAGACATAGAAATAAATTCCAAATTACATAAGAATACACGCGCATATTTGTGGGGGCGTAAGTGTACGTATAGTGGCATATATGACTGAACATGTTAATGTATACATATATGTATGCATGAAGATATGTATGCATATAAGAGTTTGGGACAGCATGATTTATCCCATTGGGTGCTCTGGTATTGCCCATAATCTATTAATCCTTAACTCAACGAATTTACACTAATCTTAACGGGCTTAAGTTTAAATCCCACATCGCTTATTAATAATATTGGACACGTGTAGTACAAAAATGATTTGCTGTGAATCTCAGAAGACCACACTCCGGGGCCTTTGTAAGAAACACCACATAGTAGGAACTGATATTGAACTACAAACAACAAGTCTTGGCCATAAATAAACTCCAAACACAGACAGCTTCCCCTGGGATAAGTTCATTACGCTCCCACCAACCACTAATGCAATCCCACTCTCATTAACAAGGCGTCTACCAGAGGAAGACTGACTGATATATATATATATATATATATATATATATATATATATATATATATATATAATTATTTATTTTTAAAAAATTATAACATAAATATGTTATAAAATCACTACAAAATAGCTATTTTGTTTCAACACCTCCGGTGTCTTATCAAGTGATGATGATGAATGTAAAATAAATGGTTTTAAAAGTTTCGAATTAATTAACAATCCTTCGCAAGGGGAAAACGTTGTTACAAAAGCTAGAATGACCAATCAAAATAAAAATATAGGAAAATTCAAAAAGCTTGACAACGAAGTTATGTTATAATAGCTATTCAAATCTTTAAAATACTTTATTTAAAAAAATATTGTATATATATATATATATATATATATATATATATATATTTATATATATATATATATATATATATATATATATATGTGTGTGTGTGTGTGTGTGTGTGTGTGTGTGTGTGTGTGTGTCTATTTATATATATAATCCTAGTGAGCCTGGAATTGCCTACCACGGATATTCAGTCCTGAAGATTTGTTAGGTGAAATCTTGGTAGGTAGTTCCGAGATCACTAGGATTTTTATACTTTGCTCTACTTATTGTATTGAGTACTTTTACGGTATTTTTTTCTTATTTTACACGACTGGTGTTCTTTTTTTCTTTTGGCTAGGCATTGTGGTGTTGCGTGATTTTTTTTTTTCGACCAACACGGATGATTTTACATTATTTACATAATTCGGACTATTGTCCTCATGTTTGTCGCCATATTCATTACAACGTTTCGGCCGTTGTACGCTCCGGCCTGTCACTGGATATAGCCTGTGACTAGATATAACCAACGCGTTGGTTATATCTAGTCACAGGGCCCAAAGCGTGTGAGTTCAATACCCGTTTAAGGCAGTGGAAAACTTTCAGAGGGAAATTAACAGATTATGATGTAATGCATATGTGAGTGTCTAATTATGATGTAATGTGAGTGTTTAATTATGATGTAATCTATATCTGAGTGTTTGATTATGATGTAATGTATATGCGCGTGTTTAATTATTATGTAATGCAAATGCATGTGTTTAATTAGTCATAGGCTCCCCTGTTGCGGTGGGAAGAAAAATGAAACTACTGTTACCCGATTAAAGACAATGGGCCTAACAAAACATTGATTAAAATAATTATTTCCTTTTGGCATCTTTAAAGAGGAAATGCGCTTTTTTAAAATTTAATATTTCATTTAAGAAACTGATTTGCTTGTTAGCGTTCGTGTTTCTCTTTAAGTGTTTTATTTTAAACACTGCCATTCAATCAAATATTTATAAAGCTTCGTGATAGCATTAATAATATAATTGCTTTTCAAACTTTTATTCTTGTTATAAATGTTGTTTGGTTGCTATGAATTATATTATCCTAAAAAATAAAAATGGACTATTTCTGAATTCTGGTCACACGGACAAGTAGGCGTTCTGTTAAATACAGGGTGCAATTAAAGTAACGCTAAAGTGGATAGACTGACATAGTTTGGTTTGGTTTGATTTGGTTTGTTTTTACGGTATATCAACCTCAATGGGTTATTTAAAGCCGGCAAGATTTTTTATTGCCGTTAATATTTTTGTTCTTTAAAAATGTATTGCTGGTAATATTTTTTTCCAAAAATGTATTGTTGGTAATATTTTTTTCTTCAAAAATGTATTACTGGTAATATTATTTTTCTAAAAAATACTGCTAGTAATATTTTTTTTCAAAAAGGCATTGCTGATAATATTTTTCTCCAAAAATGTATTGCTGGTAATATTTTTTCTTCAAAAAATATATTGCTAGTAATAATTTAAAAAAATGTATTGCTGCTATTAAAACCTATTTTAACACTTTCATAGTGTTTCGACTCCTATTTGCCCATAACTGGGACCCTAGCAGGTGCTACCACCCCAGGTCAGGGTGGACCTGGGAACATCAACAATGAAGAGGTGGTTGCACGCTCCTCAAAACTTCTTGGTCAGAGGCCTTGCTGTCGGATGTAGTTCATCGTCAAAATCAGGACCAGGATGACGTGGAACAATTTAGTGTCCATCGTGATCACCAGACGTCAAACCACCGAACATTCTCCTGTTGGCTGTACGAAAAATTCTCCTTGGCAGGCTCAAACAGCAAACCATTCCTAAATAAAAACATCAAGTTCTGAAAGATTTTCTGAAATAAATGCAGAGATGTGTCAAATAGCTTTAGAAATTTTGCTGATAGGGTTCGTCGTTGTATTGAACATGAAGAAGAGGATTTGGAACATGTCAAATAGTTTGTTAGTCATAAGAAATCATGTTGTTTTGATGTGACAATACTTATAAATTTTCTGCAATTTTATTTTGTTCAATAAAAGTATATAAGTCCTACGGTCACTTCATGTTGAAACACAGGTTCCCGTGCGGTCACCGAAGTAAAGCAACGTGGAACCTTGTCAGTACCTAGATGAGTGACCGCTTCGGAATAACACAGACTCTAAGGCGTCCAATGGAATTTGGATTCCCAAATAAACTTGGAAACACTCACAATCGAAGACAATCTGATCAGACTTCGTTATCCGAAATAAAGACATTTTTACGTCGCACCTGTAAGGTAATGCGCAGTTTTTTTAAAAACCTGTCGCCATATCGCGTGCATCTGGTTGTGAGGTCATGTACCTTTTATATCCTTATCAGACGTGTTGTTATTTTTGGCTTCTTCTATTTGTACCCGAGTAAAATATTTCCCAATGAACTCCTACATATGGTTTTAGTAATTACTATGTCAGCCTATATATGAGGCTTACGGCCATATCACGGTGAAACACGGGTTCCCGTACGATCACCGAAGTTAAGCAAAATCGAGCTTGGTCAGTAGCTAGAAGAGTGATCGCTTAGGGATAACACGTTCTGTAAGCTTTGATGTGCGGGTGGTGTAATGGATCAGTGCTCGGAATTGTTGATCGGAAAACCGAGTTCTAATCCCAGTTGGGTTCGTTACATTCACCTAGGCGCACATATCACTGGGAATGGTATGAATTCGCCTCTTTCCCTCCAGTCCCTCCAGCTATGGGTTAATTAGTGATATTTGTATCACTAGATCATTATTAAATATTTAAAAAATAATAAATAACTTGCAAAAAGTTAAGTCGTAGAAAATGAATCAATGAATGAAAAAGTTAATATTTTAAAAAGGGAATTAACTAAAATAATCCAATAAAAGGAATGGCACGTGGAATTAGAACAATCTACCCCGTAGACTAAATAAAGGGTTCGGTCCGAAATCTAACGTCTGTCACCTGAAGAAGGCCGAAGCCTACAACGGCCGAAAAGATGTGAATATGACAATAAAGATGAGGACAACAGTCCAAACAATTTAACAATGTGAACAAAAACTTGGAGAATTGAGTTACTAAAGGAAATTAAATCAACCTGAGATATCCAGAAAAGGCATGGCACTTGGAACTAGAACAATCTAATCCCGCGGACTAAATAAAGGGTTCGGTTCGAAATTCCAACGTGTACTGCCTGAAGAAGGCCGGAGCGTACAGCGGCTGAAAATATGGCAATAAAAATGAGTACAACATCAGAATGTTGCAAATAGTATAAATAAAATGGACCTTACTTTTACTGCACTCTGTGTCTTAACTACTGAAAAGGGTCTAATTTCGCATGGAAAGCCTATGTTTAAAAGACCTCGATTCGCATTTTGAACGAGGAAAGCTTTCTGTTAAATACCTCACTTATCCTTTCTTTATACTTCAATAACGAGAATACATACAAAATTATTATTCATCTAAAATTAATGCTTATTAATTTTATTTATTAATCCCTTTTTGGCTATATTTATAAAATGGAATGGATGAAAAAGTTACCGGCAAAGCTTTTATTAAAATAAAATCCCGAAAAACTTGTCAAACTTATAACATATTACAGAAAATGAAAAACCGCAAACCTCGTCGTCAATAATAGAAATAACCGAATCTAAACTACTTATAACCAATATAGTATATCAATTTCACTGCTCAGTACTAGACGGCGTTTAATGTTACATCGGTCACACCACCACCTTTTGTGTAGACGCGTCCAGTGTAACATATTTAATCAAAATGCCATTAAAAGACACTGAACCACCTTCAAATTACAACCCATAAGGAAGATTCTGATCGATAACACTATCATCCTATATAAGTTCCGTTACCGAAAACATCTCGCTGCGAGAGAGGGCCTTTACATAAAACATCTGACACCCAATATAGTTCTCACCTTATTCAGCAGCGGAAATGATGTGTTAAAGTTTGTTTGTTTTTTTTAAACAGAAAGACGCCAAATCGATTTCCAGCCACGCTCAACAAGCGAAGCCCGGAAAAAACACTACTACTATTCAAGCAGCAAAAAAATAAATAAATAAATAAATAAAAAAATAATAATAATACATCTTAAACTGATAAGCAAGAAAAAAATTAACAACATTTAAAAATAAACCACTTGAATGACTAAAGAAGTTGCCGAAAGCGCTTGAGATGATAGAAAGAATTTTCACAATCCCTTGATCCCAACAAACGGAAAAAAAATAAGATTATTAGAAAAAATAAACAAATATGAATCAAATTATCTTTGTCTATCATATTCAACGAAACATTTTTGCAAGAAAGCTTTCTGCCAAAAATACATTATCTCTCTCTCTCACTCTCTCATTCTCTCTCTCTGTCTCTCTTTCTTTATATATATATATATATATATATATATATATATATAGATATAGATAGATAGATAGATAGATAGATAAGAAGACTGATCAAAAAGTGTCGGGACTGGTGGCGTGAAAAAAAAACTACAACACATATCAATTCGGCATTTAATCTCCTTCGAAGTAGTCTCCTTCTAAATCCGCACGCTTTATCCAGTGTCGTTTCCATTAATAGAAACATTACCAGAACTCCTTGTTTGGGATAGCGAGCAGCTGCTTCGTCACATTCTCTTCGATTTAAACGACGTCTTAACATCTTGTTCCTTTCAGTGGGAATTGATTTTGAAGAGCTAAAAGTCACAAGGGGCATGATCTGAGGAATATGGTGTTTGTCGGATCTGGGGAATGTTGTCCTTCGTGAAAAACGGCTACATAACCCATGGTCACTGATGGAACCTCCGTGGTGAAGTGAGGCGACCACACTCTACACACTTACCTTCCAAGTAGTGCGATAAAAAGCATAAATGAGCGAGAACGTTTTAACTTAACGGGTAGGCGTTCAAAGTCAGTTCAAAAGTCAACCTGTGTAAAGCGACTTCATTGTGCATACTTTAAGAACAAAAGGAGTAGACAAGTTTCGCCTGGTTCATACTTGTCCCCAGGCGTTTGGACACCGATAGACGTTTATCCATTGATTCCTATTTACGAGCGGGTTTCCGGTTTCTTTTAAAGGCTACTTCAACTTTATACTCGTAACACTTGTCCTTACTTACGCTAATACAAATCTGCACAGTAAACCTCTACCCTGTGTGTGTGTGTGTGTGTGTGTGTGTGTGTGTGTGTGTGTGTTGATAGCATATCTTCATTCAAGCATTTTTGGTTGAATAATCTGTCCCCATTCTCGATTTAGAGAAATATTAATTGACAATACAAGTATACTCCATCATGAAAATAAAAAAAAAACTTCAAGGGCTTCTATGTAAGAAATATACCAAAAATACAAAATAAAGTTAATTATGAGTATGTCAACAATGTTTTAAAATGTCGATCACATCAATGTTTTAAAATACTTAAATTGTAATTTTAAAAACATTACATCCATAAATTAAAGTTACCTCTATTAAATAGAACATAAAACATTTAGAAATTAATTATAACAGAGAGCGTTTCAGGTGCATTTGCAAGAAGTTTACGATTATGAATTACATTAATTTTTTGTCTGAGCAATTCACTCCTGAAGATGATCTTGGATGAGATTAAAAGTACTTGGGTAAATAAAAGAAATGAAAACAAAACTACGGCATCTTCCTTAATGAATATAATATCAACATTAAGAAGTTTATCCGAGAATTCGACAGGATTATAATAAACGTAAACACAATATGTTCAAATTATTCAGCATATTCAACATGTTTTAATATATATATATATATATATATATATATATATATATATATAATAATCGACTCTCCCGTCGTGTTCGACGTATGAGGGTCAGGCCGATAAGTCTCCAGGAAACCAACATCCCGACACCGGCACATGAGATTTGACTATAGTGGTTATATAAGTAAACATTGAAGTCAACACTCAGCCTGTCGCCTCTGAGTGTTGACTTCAATGTTCGCTTTTATATTTATATTTACATACGCCCTAACTGTGATATTGAGCACTTTATCCCATAAATATAGCACACCTTAAAACTATATTTCTTCATATATATATATATATATATATATATATATATATATATATATATATGATTAGGCTCTAACTCCGACCACGAACACAATTATGATATATATTAGGCAATGTTCTTCACTGTTTGTGACAAAGATGTTATCTTCCTGGGCGGCTAGGTAATAATTTTTCAATCACAATTGCAATCTGATCAGACAAGTAATGTTCAGGATATCATTTTGGTCGTCAAATGAAGACAATAACAGCGTGTTCTTATCTTCAGTTTCCCACGTCCTACTCGTGAAGTGAATGCATAAAACGAAAGAAAAACAAGCTTAAATTGGAAAACTAAAAACAAAACAAAGAGAACCTTCCCATATCTAACTTACAACAGAAATCCCTTGTGACATTACTCGCTAATTTTAAGCGAGTTTTTCATTTTATTTTCTATCAAAACGTTCTTTTAGAAAGCCATTTCGCACACTGATCAACGACGAATCTTTATATATATATATATATATATATATATATATATATATATATATATATAATATAAGCGGCTCCTATTTCAATTAAACGCATTACTCTTCAAGTAAAATTGAGTTGAGTTCTATGAGCTGCTGGCGTATTTCGTATAGAGAAAAATATTAAAATTCCATCCCTTCCTACCGTTCGACGATGGCCAGGAATTATCATAATTCCTGGCCATGTGAAAATTCTTTCTATCATCTCAAGCGCTTTCGGCCACTTCTTTAGTCATTCAAGTGGTTTATTTTTAAATGTTGTTAATTTTTTTCTTGCTTATCAGTTTTAGATGTATTATTATTTTTTTTTTTATTTTTTTATTTATTTATTTATTTTTTTTTTTTTTGCTGCTTGAATAGTAGTACGGTTTTTTCCGGGCTTCGCTTGTTGAGCGTGGCTGGAAATCGATTTGGCGTCTTTCTGCTTAAAAAAAACAAACAAACTTTAACACATCATTTCCGCTGCTGAATAAGGTGAGAACTATATTGGGTGTCAGATGTTTTATGTAAAGGCCCTCTCTCGCAGCGAGATGTTTTCGGTAACGGAACTTATATAGGATGATAGTGTTATCGATCAGAATCTTCCTTATATGACTGATATCAAATCAATCGCGTTTCGATCCCGGCTTGAAGCCATCGGACGTCTAACCGCCCTGAAGAGCTATAATACAGCGAAACATTTATTCATCTTTTCTTTTAGAAGTACTTTGCACCTGCGGACTGTTTATGATGCTTTACTTGCATTTCTTCACCCATTTGAAACTCTATTTTGAACTTGTTGTCGTCCTTTATTACTGAATAAATTTTCTTACTTCTTTCATGATTTTTGACACAGATCATCATTCAGTCTTCTGTGGTGTCCAGGTATCTTTGAAGGCCAATTGTTGTAGTTTTGTAAGACAGTTCTAGTTGAACTAATCCTCTTCCTACTTCGGATCTGGGCACATACAGACGATCAACGTCAGCCTTCGGATTATTATTATCATTATTAAACAAATAAAATTATCGACGTATTTCTTCCAATA